CGCTGACTTATGGAGAAGGAATGTCGTGGCTTTGGAGCTTTTTGAGTTGGCATCGTGACTTTCTGATGACATAACGTTCTTTTTCTTGCTATAAGATAAGGTTTTTTCTTCTTCTATATATATATTTTTGAAAGAAAAAGCAAACATATGAATTCAAATGGATCCCACCATTGCCGTTCTATCAATTCGTCACCCATGTGATCTACACAATTGTATATTGGTAATGTAAGAAAAGTGACTCTATACATATGCTACATTCTACATGCATTGCTTTACGTTCTTTGGTGTAGTATTGTATTTCAAAATGAAGAAGAAGAATGAAGAGTTAGTTGCTAAAACAAAACACAGAACATGTATGTAAACTCTTTTCTGTTTTGGCCCTAAATGCTTTATAAACAGAATAATCGTTATTCAAGCATAAAGGTAAATCAATTAATGAAGCCGTAGTAGTGATATTGTGGTCGAGAACTTATATCGATTTCTTCGAGATTATATTTTAGCGACTTCGATTTATATCAATACGTATTGTGAATGTCCAACCCTACAAAAATAAATGTATTTGAAGGTCCTAAACTAAAACTAGGTTCTAGAAAAAGTTATAATAAATTAATATCAAAATGTTCTAGTAAATTTCATGCTTCAAAAGTTAATTGGATGTCAAACGGATCTAGCACTTTATCCATTCAAGATATATAATTTACCACATTTCAACATTTATGTCTTTGATTAATCGGTTATGTGGATAGAAGTATCAGTTGAATAAGATAATCAAATGCTTTTGTTTGTTGAATTGAAAGTTAAAATAATCATGGCTGTGTTATAAGTATATGCATTTGTGATGAGCTAGAAGTTTTGAATCATGGCAGTGGACAAAACATACTATAGTTTATCGTAAAATTAACCTTTTATCATCATTTACAACTTTTCATACGTACTAGGCAACAAACAAACAAAAAGTTTTTCGACTTGTTCCGCTCTATCCTTACGGTATATGGAGCGAGGCGAGATTTGGCTACTCAAGGAAGAGTTAAGAAAAAAAAATGAAAGATTCAATGAGAAAACGAAAGAGGAGTCAATATTTTGTGATGATCACATCTTATGCGCGATAAAATAGCTTATCCTCTAATCGTAAAAACATTTCTGATGTGTCGTTGAACAATAAATTAAAGATATCATATGAATAGTGGCCACAAGAACGAATTGAAACATAGAGTAACGTGAGATATTGCGATTATAAGAAGCAAACAAGATTGACATCATGTGTTGTCGCAAAAACAATTAATTATTTTAGTGAAATTTTGCTATGAATAATTTAGTACGTAATAGAAAACATATTAACCTATATAACTAAAAAAGGAGATCAAATATGTGTTTACATATTGTAATGACAGAAACATTTAATTGAATATAAAAGTTGATTATATTTGAATTTGTGATATTTTATGATAGTAATTGTTTTTCAAAAATCGACTTTATTGTTGTTATAAAAAGATAAACAAACAATAAAATTTATATTCAAAACTAGAAATAAAATATATATGTAAATATCACACACGTGTTTTCCGGTTTGGTTGACTGAACCTTTTGTTTAATTTAAAGTTCGAATATCGACAAAATAATCACACGTATTTTTCACTTATGAAACTAATATCTTAATTTAAAGTTCGGATATCGACAAAAAAAATCACACGCATTTTTCATTTATGAATCTAATATTTAAAGTGATAATTAATTTATATAGATGATATTTAAAGATAGATTTATATGTAAAAATTTTCAACTAATAGTTACAATTAGATTTACTGATAGTAGTTTTTAAACTAGAGGTTTAAGAAATAAAATGTAGTAGAGTTTATTAAAAAAATGATATTAATGGGTTTTCGACTTTTACTTTCCATGGATAAATGTAATACTGTAATTACCACCTAATTAATTCCATTTGTATTTGAACTAAACTAATAATATCCAGTGGTAATTTACTCGTTTTCGTTTTGGGTGAAACTGTGTATTTATTTTCTTCTCTTTTATTTCCCCTAGTTTTCATATTTCTTGTTTTTTTCCTTCTTCAATGAAATTTCAATTTTTTTACTCTATATATATCGTTCCCTTCTCCCTTCTTGAGTGAGATATAATTATCATCTATGAGCTCTCGTTTTATATTGTGTTGTGAATAATATATTTAAGTACCAAAACAAAAACAGAAAAGAGAAGAAAATGACTCAGAGAGGCAAATCTAATTTCGAGAACTTTCTTGAACACATCTCTCCTACTGTTCGTTTTCATACCAAGGTAAATTTTCTTTTGACATCTTTTCTTATTTTTTCAAATCATTTACAGATGGATTTAGGAATGCTTTCTTTTAATCATCTGCAATTGATGCATTCGAACATCACTACAACTTATATATTTTGAACATGTCTAAGAGACCCATATTGTTTATTTGAAGAAAATATTTTAGCACATTAAGTATAAGTTTAATAAAAAGTTTGTGCATGACCCATTTAAAATAGTCAATCACAAATCTGTTGAAAGCATCTTATGTTACAAATTCAGTTGAACATCTAATCACATTTCTAGTTATTTTTTTTCTTCTTTTGGCTAGTGTTATGTATGAAAGGTTCTTATAAAAGTGAAAGTCTTAAATGGTAATCAAGTTTAGACAGTATTAATAAATCATTTAGTAAAATTCTTTTTGAAAGTCGTTAGGAAAAGAGGATGTTCGGACAAGTTAGTGTTACCACAAATTGTCTTGCCACCTTTACAAGATCTTTAACCACGAGAGTTTCACTCTATGTTTCCGGCAAGGATTGAGAACAAACTCTAGTAGATTTTATTGACAAAATAAAACTAAAAAATCTACAAAAGATACTTTATCTAAAACATATAGCTAAACACTAATATTGATTCATTAATGATAAACGTGTTGAATTTTAAAACGGTCATTAAACTATTTCAGTCATTCAGAAAAAAACAAATGTGATATAAATCGTTTAAGAGAAAACAAAATTGAAAGACGACAATTTAATTAAAAAAAAATAGTTGGATTGTGAAACGTATCATTAACTTCTTTGAATAATTTTGAAAAAAAACAATGTAAGATAAACCGTTTCAAGATAAAAAAAAAATTAAAAAGTCAATTTAAACACGAGAGTTCTATTCTATCTTTGTGCTAAAAATTGACAAAACTCCAGTAAACTTTATTGACAAAATAAAATTAAAAAATCTATAAACAGTAGTTTATCTAAAAGAAATAACTAAACAAAAATATTGGTTAATTAATGATAAACGCGTTGAATTTTAAAACATTCATTGAACTATTTCAGTGATTCAAAAGAATACAAATGTAATATAAACCGTTTAAGAGAAAACAAAGTCGAAAGACGACAATTTAATTAAAAAAGACAATTGGATTATGAAACGTATCGTTAAGTCGTTTGAATTATTTAGAAAGAAAACAAAGTGATATAAGCTTTTTCCAAAAAAAAAAATAGAAAAGTCAATTTAATTTAATTATATAGCTAAATAAAGAGTTTAATTAGTAACAGACAAGTTGAATAGAAAATAACTTCTTTAAAAATAAAATTTTATTTTAATTAGTAACAAATTTATATATATATATTCAATGTTGGTAAAAATCTTGTAGT